AACGTGCGTGTGTGGGGCCGTTACGCACCCACGCGTGCCTCGTGTGCCCCTCGCCAGGCAGCGGGCAGGCGCGGTCCGTGCCCGCCGCGCAGGGGCTTACCCGGGCAGCGATCAGTTCAGGACTGGTTTGGAAACAAGTTCCTAAACAAACGGGGGCTGTCTTACAAATTCTAAAGGATTTCCACATTCTGAAAAGGCAGGATTGAGGCAGACCGCACTGACGTCTGTAATAAACCCGGTAGCAGTATGTTAATCCATAATTCCATAATGCTCCAGAATACATATCCTTGCTTTAGTGACATGAACTTGTTTTGCAGGGTTGTAAACAGAGCAGGTGTGTATGTGTTCCGTGCACTCAAGAAAAAAAAAAAAGGCTGAGTGAGGAAAATGCTGTTCAGTCTTCACTTCTCTCTTGTCTGTACGTATATTTCAAAATAAAAAAAAATTTAATGCTGTACTAGCACACAGTAAATGTTCCAGTTTCATCCAGAGGCAGATGAATATTTGTGATATATATTATGAACACCTCCTTCTGTACCAGCACTAGATTAAATACTCCCATTCGTTTAAGATGTAAAAGCAGAACATTGAACAGTGTTTTCTAAAGCAAAAATGAAAGAGGGTGTAACAAATACCACATCAGGAGGTTGCAAAGTACAGTTGGACCGTCCATTCAGCTCAAATCAACTAAAAAAAGACCTGCCAGTGACTGGCTCCCGCTGGCTCGTGATCGCTGACCGGGCAGACCCACAGCTATGAGTAGCATCGCTTTACTGGCAAGTTTCCAAAGGAAGTAACTAAAGGATGACATTGGGTAAATATTTACGGAGCCTGTCCTTTGTAATTCACCTAGTCACTGTTGATTCCTCTGCAGATTGAAAGAAAATGTTAATCCTATTGAATAAAAATCCAATTTAAATAAAATTCCCCGTCAAACTCGAGTTAAAAAAAAAGAGACCAGATTTGTTGAGTTACAATTCTACATCCCATAACTTTGTGAACGCTCAAGGCAGGAAAGCAGCGTTACGCAAGGTCGGCGTGCTTTTTCGTAACGGCTCTGTGATGGTGGATGCCTCTGTGTCCTAGACCCACCGGTTAATTCTCCTGCCAAACTGCTCTTCGGTTACCGGGTTCTCAACTCGTGCAGACCGAAGCTGCCCCTGGATTTTGTCACACTCTGGCTGAGCTGGAGTTCCACCACTGGGCTCGTGACACTTGTGTTTCTGTGGACAGGGTGGCCCTGCTGTCCCCTCCTGATTGTTTCCCGTGGTGAAGGGACTGGCTGGTTGTAGGGATAGAGGGATGTAAAATACTTTTATTTACCTGAAGCCCTTGACACTTGCAGCTCCTGCCTGCTTTGACCGCCTTGGCTCTTTCTTATGGCTAGAAGCCCATCAAGTCAAACATGCCTTTGGCAGGAATGTGACATGGACATTCACCAAGAGCAGGGCCCTCAGGGAGATCTTGGCCTCTATAGATGAGCCACTTGGACTTTTTCCTTCCTGCTTTGCCATTCTCCTGGTTTTACAGCCTCTACCACACCCAGTGAGAGGTTGGCCACGGTAAAAGAATGTGCTGAATCTGCCAGAGAGGGAGGTGAACTCTGTCCCCTCCTGGCCACCAGCAGCAGGGTGGCTCCACAGGTCACGGAGGAAGCCGCTGCCTCTCTGCACTGCTGGAGAGAAGGTGGCATCCTGGTGTCACTACCTGTGCTGTGCCCCTTCTCACCTTCCTGATGTGGCCAGCGTCGGTAGCGATACTTACACGCACGATACTCACCACTTGCGTGGTGTGACATATACGTGTGTGATAACCGAGCGGTTATGATACGGTCAAGGGATGGATGCAAAGCTGGCCATAGGGCAGGGAACAGCTCGTGGAGGCCTGGAGAGAGACAGAGAGGGAGCAGGGCACCCTCTGGGCAGTCCTGCCTGGAGTGGCGAGCACAAAGTGTGGCACACGCACCCCTTTTCGGCTTTAGCATCCCCAGTGGGACAGTGCTGGGTGCTGTAGGAGCGTAAGGGGAGCAGAGCACGGGATGGGGCTGAGCTCATGCACTTCACCAAAATGGCATCTCCCACAGCCAGGTCCACTCCTGCCTGGTCCTTGTACTATTTATGGACCTGTCGCCCGCAAACGAGACTCATCCTTTTCTGAACCTTCTGACACTGCCTCGGTGGCCCCTGTGCCAGTAAGGTTTCCTGCACACAGCATAAAGAAGTATTTTTTTTTTCTGCCCATTTGAACCCGACCTCTTTCCTGTTTTAAAAGTGTCTCAAGTCTGAGTATTGGGGGATTTAGTGAACATGTTAGTTAAATCCACCCCCTTCAGCCTCCTGCTCTCCAGATTGAGGAGTCCCAGCCATTCAGTGCCTGCTCCTTACTGGCACCATTCCTGTTGCCTCTCTCCGTGCTTTCTCTCAGCCATTTGCTGCCAGGCTCCTTTGGGGATGTTAGTGAAGAGGCTGCAGCCCTGCTCTGTGCCGCTGCTTCCCATGAAACGTGTCCTGGGCAGGGGGGAATAGGGAAGGGGCTGGACCATACCTGTCCCCTGTGCGGGCACAGCAAGGCAGATCCTCATTTTTTGGAAAACCAGTGCCTAAATGAGGCCAGGACCAGCTGCACACACTCTCTCTGACCTTCCCCCTGTTGTAGTCTCTGGATCACACTGGAAGGGGAGCACTGGAAAGGGAGTCCCCATCCCTTGCCCTCCAGGCTGGTGCTAAACACACCCCATTTCGCAGCCGGCTTCCCAGCCTCCCTGCGCTTGCACAGTGTAACATTTCCAGAGTCTGGGGTTTGCTGGCTGCCTGTTTGGGTTGTTTTTCTTGCAGTACTTTTCATCTTCATCAATCAACTCCCAAAACAGTCCCCTCCTCACTGCCTTTAGCTGTTGAAATCTTCAGCTCTGTCCCTTAACGCGGGAAGAAGCAAAAAGCCGCTCGGCCAGGTGGCCTGAAGGAAACTCCGCGCAACTGCAGCGTTTTGGAAATACAGCCGAAAAAAGAAGAAAGTTACCGTCTCCCCGAGCGCTCCCAAGAACGACCACTGCTCAGTGGGGAAAAACCATCTGCCTTTGGTGAGATGGAAGGGAGGAAAACTACACCTCCCAGCAGCCTGCCGGGCGCCCGAGCAAGGGCAGAGTTCACTGTCACGTTGACAGGGGAGGATTAAGGGTGTGCGCTGGGGCTGCGGGCTGTCCTGCCACCAGCAGAGCCAAAGGGCCTCTGGGAAGGGCAAGCGGAGGGGCCAGCACTGGCCTCCGCTTGCCACCCTTCTGCTTCGCTTCACCGCCCTCGCCAGCTTCGAACCTGCCCGGGTAAGCGTCCAACTCCGCAAGTCATTTCGTTTCTCCAACTTCCTTCTTCTGCGCGAGCGTCACCGGCGGGAACAGCACAGGGAGGGGAGGGACGAGAGCCAGGCGGTGGAGAGCAGCGATTATTCCCCCATCCGCCTCCAAATCTTGTGTTTAGCACAAGAACTCAGCTGTAGAGACAGGGCGGACGGGGGAAAGTGCTCCCCTGCGCTCGAAGAGCTGCTGCGAAGGCTGAGCTTGAGGTTTTTATACGGAAATCCACACGAACCGCTCTCCGGCAGGGAAAGTTTCTCGGGATTTTTCCATGCTGCTTACTTTTCCGCAGGCAGGCGTTGCACTCGTGAAAGCCATCAACTTTCTCAGGTTACACCAGTGAGCCTTAGCTCCATCCCACACTGCCGTCCGGTGTCCCTCGAGGGGGAGGGCGGGTAGGAGAGTCAGGCTGGGGCTGGAGGTTCACAACACCCCGGCCAGGGCACTGCTTGGCCCCCTTGGGTGGGTGCCAGGTCGGGTGAGGGTAACGCTGCTGCACAGGGGCTGGGTGGTGTTTCTGCCAGCAGCTTTGTATTCCAGCACCGCTGTCTCTCGATCTGACACACCAGAGGCAGGAAGGTAAGGTGGAGCAGGCTCACCACTCCATGTCGACCTGGCTGTGAGATACCAGGTGCCCAAAAGAACGTGGAGCAGCCTGCCAAGCCCCAGCCCCGCCATTTCGGAGCATAGCTGAGTCCATCCGGATGAGAAACCGGTGTCTCACCCCACTGGCTTGTCCCGAGATAACCGTGGTTTGCGTTAGTCCTCAGGCTGCTTGTAGCCTGCTGGGAAGCAAAATAGCTGCTAGCCCTTGGGATGAAGGGTCACGGTTATGGGACATCCCTCCGCGTTCACACCACCGTGGTAAGCACGGAGGGAGGTGCCTCCTTCTCCACCGTCAATCACTGCTCCTCTGTTTGTGCTTATCAGGTTTACAGGCATTCAGTCAGAATTCCTGAGGCCAAGACGGGATGGTGTCTGTGAGGGGGCTTGGTCAGCCACTTGAGCAGCAGGGAGATACCTCATCTCCTTATGACCCAAGCAGAAAGTGAAACAAAACAGTGCAGAAGCCAGAGTCCCAGGGGAGAAAGAGAATGGAAGAGAATCCAAGCATGGATCTGTCTGGAGGTAAGGGATTCCTATGCTTACATCATCTACTAGGAAAATCCCTTTGCAAAATTTCAACAGTGACATGGGAAACCCTAAGCAGAATAAAAAGAAAAAATAAAAGATTTTCCTCTTTTCCAGGCCAAGAAAAGCAAGTTGCTATTTTTTTTTTTGAAAGATGAGAGATTAACAAGCTACTTTCAGTTTTGGATTCCTGTCTGCAACAGGTTTAGACTCTGTGTCCAGGATGGCAGCACAAGTAAGGCTCCAGATGGAGCTCCAGGCTGGGAGAGCTTTATTCCCTCCATCCCGGTGCTTCCCATGGGAAGTGGCTTTGGAATGCTCGCTGCGGAGAGAGGATGACCTCCCACGGGTCAGCTGCCAAGTGCAAGTGCCGTCTGGTAGAGCAGCTCCCATTTGTAGGGTTACGCATGGTGGGTGTTAGGGGGTAGAAAGCAACTCCTTCGGGTTACCGGCCGAGGAGAAGGAGGCCCCGTTGAATGCAGGTATCTCACATGGACCTGTGAGCTGGACTTTTAGAACAAATCAGGACCCAAACCCTGCAGAGCTCAGAAACCACAGATCTACAGGGGCTTAAATAACAAGCCAGTTTTCCACCACCTGTGGACAGGAAACCTCTGGAGGAGGCAGGGCAAGGAGAACCGTTTGTGCCAAGCTTGAATGGCAGGATACCTCCAGGTTCCTCATGTTTCGGTACGTTCTCCGGGTGCCATGTTATTATGACTACCACATGTGAGTGTTTAGTGATACCGCAGTGCTGTGACCAGCTCAGATCTGGCCCAGGCAGTCAGAAGTGTTCCCATAATACTCAGCAACAAAGAATGTAAAAATCACTATCCAAAGGATGGCGTGTTCTGACACATGATGAGTGCAGCTTCTTCTCTGCTTTCAAATTACTAGGGAGTTCCTTGCTGTTTTTATCAGAGCCTTCATTCTAATTTTAGCATACTCATTTCTGTGTCGTTGCAGTGCTTGATCATTCTTAATTTTTTATTTTTTTTTTTTTAACAAATAGTGCCTAAGCTCAGAGCTGCGCTGTTTGGTTTTGTAAGATTCAGAACGTGTTGCAAACACTTACCTTCAGCCACAGAATTTCTCCATTGAATTATGCTCCAGTGTTTGCTTTTAATTATACGTTACCGCAGCTGTTTGGGAGAGCAGCTCCGGAGCAGAAGCAGAAATAACATTTACATTCAGTCAGATGCTTGAAGTGCATTGGCATTACTGTTCTGGCCAACAACAGCCTTAAAAACACTTCAGACCCATCACATTAATTTACCAGCCTGGGAAAACCCACTATCTGTGGAAGATGGGGTAACACATCCCACCGCTTAGGGAAATAAGTGCCTTCCCACCCCACGTAGGACAGTGTGGGACATCGGCTGGGATCGCATTAACTTTCCTCAGAGCAGCCTGTACAGAGCTGTGTTTTGAGTTTGAGGTTTAAAAACAAACAAAAAAGTATTGAAAACACAGCAGAGTTTTGGCTGTCGCTGAACACGGCTGGCACAGCATCAAGGCTTGGTCTTTTTCCCCTATTTTCCCCCCATCAAGCAAGTAATCCCCCCTTTTCCTTCACCTATTCAGCTGTCTCAATCTCAACCCGTGAGTTTTTTCACTTTTGGTTGCCCCGTTCTCTCCCCCATCTCACTGAGGGTGGACGTTTCTGAAATGCCTTTGTGTAGATGTTTCTGAAATGCAAGAACTGGGAGTTTTATGGGGTGGTGGTAAAGCTTTGGGTATTCTTGACTCCTGTACGGCTCTAGCTGAGCTTGTGAACTCTGATCCCAACAGCTGGGCCAGCCCAAGATGAGGTGCAGAGCACAGCAGAACATCCTGAGCACCAAGAGCCCCTCCAAGAAACAGTTGAGCCCCAAGTGGCAGGCAGGTGGCCTGAGACCTCCTGCAAACCAGAGGAGGACTCTTCAGTGTGTAAATCACCAACTGCAGATGAGGGAGAGACGACACTGTTGGATTTAGCTGGCCCCATGGTAGAGGAGAAGGTTCCTCAGGAAACTCAAGTATCACTGGAAGAATCTGGGAAGACAAGAGATGGTGTCTCAGAAGGACCCCAGGAAAAAGATGACTTGGATGAAGGTGAGTCTCTCCCCATTCCTGTGTGCAGCACTTCCAAACTGCTGATAACCCGGGACTTTGCTTAGAGGAGGTAGAGTAGGAGGAAGATTTGTTAGTTCTTGTGCTGAAAGAAACTAAGCGCAGGTCTGCGAATTTTATTCCCCACAGCCAGGCTGGCCCATGATAAAACGGACAGCAAAGGAGACAGCCCTGTCCACCAGGAAACGTGGGGGGACCAGGAGGCAAGCAGGCAAGGTGAAAGCTCCTACACTGCAGAGGAAGATGCTTCATCAAGACGGAAGTCACTGAGCTCTGACAGTAGCATGACCCATTCGGATGGGACTGCCACAGATGATGTCACCGAGGGCCTCTTGGCAGAGAAGAGCACCAGTGCCCCTCTCCTAGATCGGGAGCCAGGCGGGCACACAGAGCAAGAGACAGAGGAGAGCGGATCCCCAGGCACGTTAAGGAACAGACATGGGACCAAAGGTGAGCTGGTGGCTGCACACTGCTGCTCGTCCACGTGCACATTCCTACACTTTCCATAGGTGTTAGAAAAACGGTATGGTGAGATCTCTAATACCTGCTGCCAGTTTTCTGGAGTCACACAGGAAAGAAGGTATAAGAAATTAACTGGCTCCTTTCTCTCCCTCCTTTGGCTACTGTCCCGCTTTGGAAGGCATGAGACCACACTGTGCTTTCTGCATCATCTGTCTCCTTCCCCTGCCCCAAAAGCTTTGGGAGCCAAGGCTCAAAGCGGTATTAACCCAAAGCAGCATTCACTCCCAACTCTT